TATAAAGGAGAGATACTGTAACTGTGTTTGCAGTGGCGTCCTGGACACCATTTGGAGAAATCCCTAAGAGGTAATGGGGGATGTGGAGATTTGACAAAGCTATCATCATTGTTCTGACAGAAAGATGAAGTCAGAATGCACAGGAACTAGCCACTTGTTTACTTCAACAAATGGGCCATTTTGAAGTGAAGGGCGTAACCCAAAGGGTTTCTGTATCTTGCTCCCATGCCATTTCTCTCGACATGCAGCAGTCAACGGTGTTATATTCATTCTGGAAATGTCTGTATGTACAAATGGCATTCATTACAGGCAGCCTCTTTCAACTCTAAGGGGCAAGGGGAACACAGATTATTTGGGAAAAGGAAAGAAAGAAAACAAAGCACTGTCACCAGCATGGAGTTTTTTCTGAGTGAAGAAAAATACCTGGATGATGTTTTCAAACATTCCAACCACCCACTCCAGAGAGCATGGACAAACATAATTTTCATTGTTGACATAATGATGACGTTTTTCAACCATTTCGCAGAGCATAACTTCTTTTCTGTGTGTGCCTGGTTTTGCGACCATGTTAGTGATGTGGGGAAAAAAAATGTACAAATGAAAAACAATGAGTCAAATAACTCCTTTAGTGCTGCCACTAGGAGCCAGAGTTCCCGTGCGCTGCCAGTGTGTGATCAGAAGTACACTGTGGATCATTTGTGTGTTGAATAAAACGTTCAGATTGTTCAAGGATAAACAAAGCCACTGAATTTGACTACCTCTCAGGAAAAACAAGTTCAGAATTTTGTTTTCTTGGTTTGTGTACTTTCAGGTACAAATATTCTTTCAGTAGATGAAACTAAATGACGTTGAGAACTGGTGCAATGTTGCCAATAATGTAATGAAACACATTCCCCAGCTCCTCAATCATCAGATGACTAAAACTTCTTTCTGATTTAAATGACCTGGATATATTCTCAAATATAAGATATATAAAATATATAGTATGTATCAAAATATAAGAAATAGTATTAAAATAATTACTTCCTTATTGATCATAGTTATTTCTATCAATTTCCTTTGTGTCTTTTTCTGCTTGAGCTTATATTAAGTATGTGTGTGTGTGTGTGTGTGTGTGTGTGTGTGTGTTTTTCCTACCTTTTCTGAAACTTAAGCATTTTTAATGTGTTAAAAAGTCTTCTGTAACTCATTTTCAGTCTCCATATGCTATATCATAGAAAACTACCATAACATATAGAATTCTGTATTTGAAAATATGAATAATTTAATAATTTTGTTTCTATCATAGTAATAAATACCCTTAAATATAAATTACCATATTTAACATATTAAAGCCATGAGTAATTGATGACAACACAACATAAGTTAGGTCCTCTGCCAACAGCTAGGCACATAGACATCTACAATAAAGACTACATTTCCCAGATACCCTTGCTGGTACAGTGACTACAGGACTAAGTTTTGCTCAGTGTGGGATGAAAGTGCCCTACAGCAATTTCCAAAAAACCTTCCTTAAACTATTCCCTGTGCCTGTTTTCATACTTTTCTCTTTGAACCATAGAACAAGGGCCACAGGTCAGTAGCAACAGAACAAAAGGAGGCTCAGCCTGAGGGCTGTGTGGAGCAGAACTGCTGTGCTAGGCCTGGGCAATTACATCAAAATTTTATTTTATTTTCACTAATGCTATTTTGGATCTCTAGTGCTTGCAATGGAATGCAATTCTAGCTAATACAACAGTGCTGATTTTAAAAGAAAGCTAGCAGAGTAATGGAACACATGGCAATGAGATCTATAACAATTATAATTTTACTACTCACTAAATCTAGTTTGGGATAGTTTGTTCTGCCACCTATCAATGGTACAATATCCATAAACCACATCAGTGCTAAAACATTTCCCTGATAATCAATATTCAGCTTATCAGTCTTCATCTTTCACAAGCATTGGCATATATAAGGTCATTTGTCCCAAATACTGAATGAAAATTTGGTAAAAGGAAATAATACATTAAAACATTGATTACCCCAAGAGGTGAGTGATAGGTGATTAGTCAAATCTGGAAGACAGATATGCTTCAATATGGTCAGATATAAAGCAATTTAAATAATCCTAAAACAACAGTTATATTATGAAATTATCACAATACATGCTATACATAAAAGCTTCTATAAATAGGAGGTATTCTCATCACTCACCTAACAGAAAAGCAAATTATTTATAATTACTTTATAATTCAAATTTTCCTAAAATCAAGTGTATAAAAATTTAGATTGTACTTATAAGTCATGATTATTTGCCCCAATCATCATCTAAAAAGATGTAACTTGAAAGTATAGATTTATTTAGGAGAACAAGAATTTTAAAAACCATTGAAATACATAATCTTCAACTGCACTAGAGATATTGTTATCCTAAGACTTCTAGAAAAAATGGCATTGTTGCTATTCCCGAAGATGAGAATTTTGAAATGAGTTTAGTGTAATTAATCTACTTCTTTGTTTCGCTGGATTCTAAGTTCAGGAAATTTGGGGACTTTAATGCAAATGTTCTTTAAGAACCTATATGAAAGACAGTGTAAGTTTTAACATCTCATAGAATCTTTCAACCTAAAAATGAGTGGTATATAAATGCCTAATTTAGGGGGAAAATTATAGATCAACAGGCCATATTTTCTCCTGAACTAACAATGTGTCGGTATTAAGCTAGGAAGCAAGAATCACCATCACATAATCAAAAAGACATCAGCTAAGGATAGATAGCTAGGCTCCCATTCTGAGGAGAAACGCCATCTATATCAGGATGAAAGGATTTCAATTGTCTGCTGTTCACCTCAAAACTCAAAGCACAAAGAAAACATGCAGGGTGAGAAGGAAAGGTTCACCTGGCTAACAGGCTGCACTTTGTTGTCTGGAAAGTGTCCGAATGTAGCAAAAACAGAGATATTGATGGGAAAAATTAACAGCTTTCGATAGTGATTACTCCTGGGTAAAAGACGGAAGAATTAGACCAGAAAGGCAAACAAATGAACTTAAGTGCAAATGTCTTTTTCTATATAACCTAAACAATTAAATAAAAATTGCATGTGTACTAATTCAGGATGTTAGAACCACTATGGCTGCCCACTGCCTTGTTCACTTTCCCATAGTTTAAGAGTTTAAGGAATTGAAAAAGGAGTAAGATGTGAGTTTCTAACTTCTAATTACTCTGTACTTAGTTTCTCTTTTTTTACTCCAAAACACACTTTTTTTCTATATAACCTAAACAATTAAATAAAAATTGCATGTGTACTAATTCAGGATGTTAGAACCACTATGGCTGCCCACTGCCTTGTTCACTTTCCCATAGTTTAAGAGTTTAAGGAATTGAAAAAGGAGTAAGATGTGAGTTTCTAACTTCTAATTACTCTGTACTTAGTTTCTCTTTTTTTACTCCAAAACACACTTCTATCATTTTCTAACTCAAATCACATACATAAAAAAAAAAAAAAAAAAAAACCCACAAGACTTTCCCACACATTAAATCTTGTACGAAGAAAACAAAAACAAAGTGAGGTAGTATTCCTGAAGGTCGATAGAAAGTCCGTCCTAGAAGTTTGAGTCAACATATTTGGAAGCTATTGGGGTGGTGGTGAGGCAGATTTATCCATATTCAAAACTGGGAGTGTTAGGTTTCATGTGTGCATACTGCTTTAGCCTAGAAAAAAATTCTGCATCAAACATTAATATTAATTAAATAACTACACCCTTCTAATTGATTCAACCAGAATGTTCATGATAACTTTAAATGAGATTGTGTTCAAGTTGACTGATTGGGCAAAAATCATTTATGAGACAATTACAAAGCGTTTTGATGACTGATTTGGGTAAAAGAAGAAAGTATCATTACATATCCATTGACAAATTGGAAATAATTAAAAATCTAAAAAATTTTTAAACGTGAGATAGTGAATCACTTTTGTTCCATGTTGTGTTCTGAGACTGAGGTGGGATGCCAAAAAAAAAAAAAATTATTCATCTTTATAAGTTTCAGACAAGGGTTAATTTATGATCTTTTATACATCCATGACAACAAAGCAACAGCTTTAAATAATGACTTGGTTCTAATTCCCCAAAAGCAAAAAAATCACTAAAAACAATATTTCCTCTAAGGTAAATTTTCATGTTAGTCAGTAGTTCATAACTTCAGAAAAAATATAAGTTGCAAAACTACACAGAGAAGGAGAAATAGCTTTAGGACCTTTAATTTGGAGTTGCATGAAAGCGTCAAGCTGTAACTGGGCCAGAGCTTTCAGTGTCAAGTTGATTAGCCAAACAGGAGTACTTAGTAATGGACTCCTATGACTCTAATGGCACCTAACCTCAAAATGTGGGTCGCGCTACTTTTATGACTTCATATCATGATACCACTACTCTTTTCTACACAGAAAATGAAAGGGGAAACTGAGGCAGTTATGTTGGTAGTGTAAGTGAAGAAGGAATACCCAGATACTTGAAGCAAAGGGGAATTGGAGATAACAATCCGAGAACTCAGTTTTACTTGCCAATGATACATAGCATTTTTTTGCTTTGTTTTGTATTTTTTTATTGAATTTTTTCTGTATTTCATACAGAACAGCTCAAACAATCTTTATTATCTTTACACCCCCGTCCCCACTGGCACCCTCCCATAGCCGCCCTCCCTCCCACTGGAGCCCATATACTCGGTTATTAAAATGAGGCTCACTGTGCAGAGATGTCTGAATGTTATGTCTATTACAATTGAGCAGAAAACCCCCTCCCCCAAACGCAATTCTTTCCTTGCTAACTCAGCAAAAAGCATGCTCGTCAAGGTTATTTAAATTCTTCTGTGTTGTTCAAAATTGCAGACTGATACTGTTTGCCAATGAAATTTCTGCCAAGACAGTCTTACAAACATGAAATCATACTTTATCTGGTTTCTGCTTACCTTGAGCCCAGCAGGAGATGGGCACAGGTAACAGCTATCAACAATTCTAATTCTAGTGCTCAGTTCGGCAGCATATATACTAAAATTGGAACGATACAGAGATTAGCATGGCCCCTGTGCAAGGATGACACGTGAATTTGTGAAGCATTCCATAATTTTTACTGGACTCTATCTACAGGCTATGGTTCTCTGGATTTTTTTTTATATGGCTTACAAGAACCAGTGGATAATACTCTGATTATTAAATATAGCTATCGTTTCTAAAGCAGTAAATACTAATAATTTGTCATCTCTATTGTTTTACTATAAACACTGCTCTTGAGAGCACTTACATATGTTGTAACTGTGTTGGGAACACTACAAAACCTTGCAAAACTGCTCATTTCTTCCTAACTTGTGTTCAGTGGTATCAGGCTAGTTGTGAAGGCAGCCATATTGTGGAAATTTACACCGTGGAAACTGAAGACTTCTTCCAGTCAGTCTTTGATATATTATTGGTTTATTTGTTTGTTTGGTTTTGGTTTTGAACGGAGCAAATAAAACGGTGAAAAATAAAAAAAGAAAGAAAAGAAGAAAGAATTCTAATTCTCCTGAAGGATCGCGTTTTACTGGCCACGACCTCGCCTCATCCAGCCCGGCACTGCCTGCTGCATTCACCCCACTGTTACCAGACACTGTGCTGGCTGCTCTCTACCATTCTGCCCTATTGTCACTGCTAACGCCATTCTTCTTGGGCCCAGAACCCTGAAAATCCAACCAAATAGGATGAGGGCTTCTTTCATGCTGCAGGGATAATTCGGCAGGACTTCAGAACTCACCCCTGCACACCCACTCCTGCTTAGTCTTCTTTCCAGTTGATCCTCATTATCCAGCAAATAGAAAATGGAATTTGTTCACAAACCCTTATAACTAATAAATATTTCAATCTACTTTGTGTGCATACAACCTTATATTTTATGTATAACATATTCCTCATGTGTTTCATGTGCACCCTTATTTATAGAATATATATTAGTGATTCTTCTTTCTTCTAGAACTCTAAATAATATGCCAGCTTATCCATATATTTGCTGTTTACTAACCAAGTGTTAAGTTCTTTTCTAAATTGTAAATATGTATCATTTTGTGTTAAAGTTCTCCCCACTTGTAAATAATTAAACAGCCTCATTACCAAAAGCCGCTGATCTATGATCAGCTCATTCTGTTTTGTAAATATGGAATTGAAGTATGTATGTTCAGACCCTGCATCCTATCATAATTCTCTTCTGTCAAGTACTCTGAGAATTTCACAAACTATGCTTTACCCGTGTTCGTAGCCAGTGTGGCCCATGAACTTCTCTACTCTCACTTCTGCTAGTCTGTTTCTGCTGCCTGTACATGGAATGACCTGAAGGGTTCCATAGCTCCCCACAACCCCCAGGACTGCAGTCACCACTCTGTATGAACTGTCAGGTCTGTGATGTGCCCACAGCTAATTGCCAGTCCGTGAGGACTCCATGTCCTGCCCGTGTCTGTAAGATCACATTCTCTTTGAGTTCTCTTCAACACTGAGCTGCTTCCCAACTCATCCTCCCTGAGGATAGATGGTGACCAGAATGTGCTGGAACTATTGCTCTACACAGAAGCTCAGCTCTTTTGCTATTCAGTTTTTACTTGATCTACAAAGTTTTGAAGTCCTAAGCTCCATTTAAGTTAGAGCTCAAACTCAAGGTAAAGGGTAGATTCTTCTTGGGCTGAATTTAGGGCATGCACATAAATCGGCCCCTTGGCCAGGAATCCCAGTGCTGCTAGGACAGACTTCATCTGTCTACAGATATCAGTCACTTTCCCGACTGCAGCTTATTTTAGACGAAATCTTTCTGAACATTCGTGAAAAGGATACTGAGAGTAGGAAGGAGAAATAATTTCTCAAATAAACAAGCTAATATTTTCATTTGTAATTATTTTATTAAACAATCATTTTTTTACATGTCATCAGACCTTACCCCTGAAGTGCAATAAACAGTTTGAGGTATTAAAACTGAAAGGACATTTGCACATATTTGTAAGGTTTTCACACTATAATAACCAGAAAATTCAATATGACTAAACACTACCTACATTTGCAGATTTATAAGGACAAAGGTGAATGAAAAAAAAAAAAAAAAACTGGTTTATTTCATTATAGCTTTGATTCTCTAGTTCACGATGAAAGGGAGGCAAAACATAATATGAGACTTAAATTGCTTCCAAAATGATTTATATTCATTATTCAGTTCTATAAAATGAAGTGTAGGATTTGAAATGTCAACAGCTGAAGCAGTAGCCATCCAGAAAGCATAGAAATCAACCAGACAAACACGCTGCAATGATATAATGTCTTATTCACAGAGCTTAATCTTGATCCAATGGTCACTCACCCAGGGCATCTGAAATAGATTCACCACAATATTTCAGAACTGTCCATGTACACAGAGCATCACGTAATGTGATGGTCAGTTGATTATGTTAACACAGATGAAGTTCAGAATGAAAGAGGAGATTGGCTATTTAGGTGATTTAATTTTTTTAATATTGAAGAAATTAGCCATAGACTTTCTTCAGATCCTCTTTCACTTTGTGTCTACGCCTTGCAATAGAAAAGTTGAGGCAATTATATAGCTAATTATTGTAATATAAACACTTGCTCCTGAAATAGTCAAGCAAATTGAAAAAAAGATGGTCCTTTAACTTGATGATTAATTTATTATATTAACTTGCAGTATGGAATTTCCACTCAAAGCAAATGCAAAATCACAGATGGCTGTACATGTTGTTAGTTGTGTATAACATGGATTTTTTTACAATTAGCACTCCACTTTTAGTAGCTGCACATACCAGGTTTGGGTAACTATCATTGCATTGTTTTACTTGTTCAGCTGTCTGGCTTATGAAAAACATGCTTTTTATTTGTGTGTCTTTGCCTTTTTGTGTGTTTTGTGTGTGTGTGTGTGTGTGTGTGTGTGTGTGTGTGTGTGTGAGAGAG